AATCTGGTTTTTCACACATGTAACGCTTGGTTTGAACAATTATTCTTCCGCTCAAAATGTCTGGATCCGTAACGGAACAGAAGATTACAGCAAGAGTCCCGCTCAGACCAAAAATTCTACCCTCTGTAGCATATCCAGTTTTATATGTAAAGCTTTTCTCAATTATATTGAAAAACTTTGGCTGTAATTTTCTTACAACAGTCGAATTGAAATGCTAAGTAAATTTTTTTTATGCAGTTAATGTTGCAATGCTAACTGGATTTTTTTTGTATGTGGCAAGTGTAAAACGTGCACGATTACTGTAAAAACAGTAAAATTTTCTCACACTTATAACTTTTTCCGGCTTGTATTCTCGACTGCTGGAAAACTGTGAACGCAATTTTTCAATTTTTTCAGAGCAGAAAGCCCTACACAAAGTTCTTTTTGATTCAAAGACACATTTTTTGGTATCTGTGTAAATTATGCTTTTATCATACCGCTGCAATTAGTTATCAAGATTAAGTAACTCAATACATATATCAAAAGACATGACAAATCTAAAAAATTAAAAGTACAAAATCCCATTTGAGCTGAATTACAAGTCTCGGAGAAGGTGTGTCGAGCAGCAACCTGACAAATTTTGCAACTTTAGAGAGGTGTTACTTGGCAAGAAATTCAGCGTCCCAGGTTTGATAAACTGTTAGCTCTCTCTGGCCTTCTGCATACTACCCTAGAAAAGTCTAAAAATTTTGAGAAAATGAGTGAAAAAAGTGTGTAAGTTAGCATGGTATACCCGTCAAATACGTCTTCTGTGCACCAAAGTGACAAGAAAAAAAGATAAATAAAAGCGCTTTGATAATGACTTTTTAGAACACATAAAAGTTACTCCAAATTTTTATGCCACAGCCTCTCACTTAAAATACTTTTACCTTGTCTCGACAAAAAGTTATACTAAAGATCTGTCCTTTTCCTTCCGCAGTAAAAAAACGGTGTGCCATGATTTCAAATAGACAATTTTTTTAATTTTGAAACTGTTAACCTTTTATGACTTTTCTGGTTTCTTTTCTGCTTATCGCGAATCCTTTGGAATAGGGATACAGAGGCTACAAAGAAATATTAGAAGACTGAATCTCCACTAATGAAAGAAATAATATAACACAAAAAAAAAAATGCTGGTCAGTCAAACCAGCAAACTGCGCGATGACTTAAAGTTCAACCTTTGTTCAATGCCTTTCGAGCGTCACTGCCCACCTCGTCGCTAAAGTGAAGAACTTCTCAGTTGCCGTGCTCTTTCAATTTCCACTCCACTTCGGACAAGACGCATACGTATGCGACTGTTGTCTTCTACGGCTATTCTAAACTAAAGCTGCTAAAGAATGGAACGCTGCATTGAGATAACCAGAAGGATACAAAGCATTGCTTCCGTGAATCAAAGCACAAAAAACCAGCCCTTTAACTAGTTTCTTCTAAAATTTTCCAAAAAGTTTGTCAAAACGCACTGTTTAGTTACTGCATCCGTCAGACCGCAACCACTTATTCTCAAAGGCAATCAGATACAACCTATTATTATTTTCAATATAATATCCTGGTTGAATAGTTTTAGCTGCAACTAGCGAAAGCTAGTAATTTACAGACCCCCCCCCCCCAAAAAAAAAAAAAAAAAAAAAAAAAA